CCTTCTCGTATAATCGAACAGTCTAACTTCTTTTTTTCCTCAGCTCCTAGTCTTTTTTCTAACTAGACTTTTGGTATTAAAAAATACTAGATTTTAAGGGCTATCATTTGGCCTAAGCGTACACTGTAGCATAAAGCAGTGCGGAGAACAAGACGTTCAAAGTTAGACTACGCCACCACGACATTATGGCGGATGGCGTTCTATTAGAGTATTTACCGGATCAGTCAGATAGGCTTTTAGCTGGCAAATAAAGATTCGACTTTGATTCTGGTTTAGACAAAGATTTCATCGATTTTGTGGATAAAAAAATCCATAGCTTGAACTCTAATATTCTAGCTATTAAGCAAAATATCCAGTCAATACAGAATTTGATCAATTGTTGGCTATGGAGACTAAAATGATCTATGGTTTAGTTAAGGCTCAATGTTTTTAAGTCAAAAAATCTCCAGCTCAAATCGTTGTATCATTTCCAACGCAAAAAACTCAAGTATTGAATGAAGTCAAAGTCAAAGCAATCATCGCGAAATCCACTCGAGAAACGACTCGGGTAACTCTCGAGAAATGCGTCAATTGAGTGCTGGATGGAGAGGTGAAATTGATGGAAATATTGCGAGGAAAAAGACCGAAGCAAACACTTTTGACCACACATTTCACTGGCAAACAGTTCACAAATGATCTGGTGAAGAAAAAGAAAGGAAGGGGAAAAGGGCAGGTGTCGAGACTTGGAGAAGGGGGAGACCCGAGATGAGAATCTATTTCACTCTCCTCTTTCTCTCTTGAAATTGGATATTGAAATACTCGCTTATTAAATAGCCATAAGGTTACCAGTTAGAATCAGAAGTGAATTGGTTAAAGGATGATGTTGATACGAACAATTCCTGGTTGAAAAATCTCTGTCATCGGATCTCTATTAATTTGACTATAATCTAGCTTATCGAATCGTTCATTAGCTAGATTTGCTTATACTTCTTGATCTCTAGACAGTAATGACTAAAAACGAATCGGAAAGTTTAAAATCACAAATAGAAACATAAAAGTAGATCAAATCAAAAGAAAGAAGAGAAAACGGATAAACGATGGATGGGGAAAGGAGGGGAAAGGACCGAAGTCATCATAAATGGGTGGGAATTGAAGAAAGAGGAGAAATGGGGTGGGAAAAGAAAAAGACGCAAAATGGGGAGGGCCTCGAGGGGCTGAGAGAGGCCCAAGGGGGGCTGTAGACCCCTTGCATTCCTTTTCCCTCGCACCCGCGCACATTAGCTTCGGCAACAAGAAAGCTTAGGCGGTGCCCGGGAATGGAAAAGAAGGAGGGAAAGAGGGCTGCCCTCCATCCAATCGATGCTATAGAGAAGGGAGACCCTGAGGGGGCCAACTTCTCCCCCATCCCCCACCAACCGCTTTACAGAGGGGGAAACTTTGCCTGTGGCTGTGAGAGAATGACGAGAACGTCCCTTTCCCCTTCTTTTTCTTTTTACCCTTTTCCTGATCTCTCTAGAGGTTGTCTAGCAGAGATCAATAGTCTTGAATGGCGAATCATCGGCCTGGAAAACGGCTGTCACTCTCCTCTATCCATCCATCCCCCTTTTTTCCAACTACCCCCTAAATTCTCGAACAGCCTCTCTTCTAGCAAAAAATGGCTAACACACCAAAAAATGCAGAGAGAAAGAGATGTGATTGCCCGCTCGAATGGGTGATAACCGGTAAGATGTTGTTGGGAATGGGAGAGGATAGAGGAGGTCGAATGAAGTGAAGATGAAAGGGAAAAGGGGTTATCACCTAACGTATACAAGGGGAAATGGGGAATTCATCTGGAAAAGGAAAATCTATCGGGTAAGCTTAATAGGGGTACTCCTTTTTGATAAGTGATATGAGTCATGGGAATGGATTGATGAAAGGAGAATACATAGTTTCAAACAGGAATCATTTAAAAGGAAATGTTGGAAATAAAGCTTTTGAATAACTATGATGACTAAAAAGCTAGAATTTTCTTTCAAGTTAACGCTCAAAATTATTCGAACTAAATTATTTCATCTTTTCCACAAGATAATTTAGGCAAATTTGAGATAAATACAAACACAAATGCATAAACAAATTTTGAACACTATAAAAAGAATTAAAAGAATTTGCTTGAAAATGAACCGAAATTGACTTAAAAAGATGGGAAATTGAACAATAAACACTTTTTATTTAGTGAAAACCATAGTTTAATTGGTGAATTTGTTATTTTGCAACGAAAGTACAAAAAGAAACGAAAAGACTTTCTGGCCAGCCTAATAAGAGCACATAAATAAAGGTCTGATTGAAAAGGAGGCCATATCTTACAACAAAGAAAGATCGGGACAATAAAAGAGGAATGGCCGAACAAAGAGCAGATCTATTGAGAGGAAACAAGACTGTGTAACAATAAAATGACATAAACAGTCTTTAGATCAAAGGAGTTTTGAGAAAAGAGAAGAATGGATGGATTAAGTAAGAGAGAAAGGTGTTTTGATCATTGGTAAGTTTGTTAGTATTAAGAATTATGTACTTTTTGTCATTTCTGAATTTAATAGAATGCTTCAAAATTGTAAAGGGCAGGCAACCTATCCCTCTTTTTCGAGATTTATTCAAAGTTAATCCCACGGTTAGTTCAAGGAATCCTTTACTTCACTTTCATGTTTTCAAATGTCTTAGCACCACCAGTGATCTCAAGGCTCGGTTCAAAGGTATATAATACAATTAATTATTAGCTTGGTGCAGATGAAACTTCCGTTAGAACCATAAACGAAATTTATTATAAAAATCCTAAACAGAACCTCAATCCAAAAGATATTCGCCATCATTATCAATGACTCTTTGCCATCTTCCACTCAGAGAATCGTTATAACAAAATCTATTATAAAAATCCTAATACAGAACCTCAATCCAGAAGATATTCACCGTCATTATCAACTTATCCCTCTTTTTCGAGATTTATTCAAAGTTAACCCCACGGTTAGTTCAAATTGGCTACAAAATGAGCTATTAGGCAAGTTTTTTGGCTGAGTAGAAAATCTTTTATAGCTATTTTAGGGCATTTTTGAACCTAAACTTTGGGGACTGAAAAAAAATTTTCTACTGAACCAAATGAGTTAATTTCAAAAATTTATTATAAAATATATGCATTATGAACATTTTTTATGTGGGTGACTTTTTGATTGGATGCCCGGAAATACCCTCATTCGTTAGCGGCTGAATTTCGTAAGCGGCTACGACATATATATTTCTCTAACAAATAAATGCTCATCTGACCCTTTTCTTCATCCATTCAAACACTCGATATCGGCTTTTTTTTTGTTTTCTTTACTTTCTTTTCTTGCATTGAGTGTGTACAAATTCTGTTATAATGTCTGCTCTTTCTTTTTCTTTTTTCTTTTTCTTTACGGCTTTTTGGGGGTAAACACAGAGAGTGAACGCTTATCATCTTACTTAAACTTTTAAAAAGGAAGAGTCAAAAGGGGAAAATGGATTAAAGTTGACGTGTTTGGAGGGTTTGGAAAATTTAAATTTCAAAAATAAATTGAACTTGGATCGGGAAAGGTTTACTGGAAAGAGGCAAGTCTTGTTTTCAACTCCAAATAGATGAAAGAATCGAGTGATCAGAGTTGGATCAACTCTTGAACTTGTGACCAATCTTGGTGAAACTACCATACTATTGGACAATTAAATTTGCTTGTAAAACTACTGTACTACAAAAGGGAGGAGTACAATAGTTTAGAAAAGTGCTCAGCCACCAGATCTTCATTCAAAAAAAGGAAAAAAGAATAAAATTAAGAATAAAATAAAATTTTTACACATAGAACAGTCTGACGCTGAAGTTCTAGAGTTTTAAAAGTGTTACAACACGAGTCTCTTTTTTGGGAATTGAATGAAAGGGTGTTTACAAGAAGGAAAAGATTTTGATGTTTTTGAGAGATCGAGAAGTGGGCAGGAAAAGAAAAACTTCGAAAAAGAAGAGAAAAAAAGCAAAAAGATGTCAAAAACACCAACATTTCTATTTACATCGCTGCCCGAAAATCCTCTTTCTATATTTTCCCTTCAACGAAAGAGCAAGCAAAAATTGTTAGCAATTGAGCAAAAGAAATCGTGAAAATTGTGAGTCATTTTGATTTCGAATTGAGAAATGGCCCTTGTGAATCATCGATTTGCAAATCTTTTTAAGATATTCAGCTAAAAATGGAAAATTCTTTGAACCAATCTGGAATTTGGACCAAAAATCAAGAAGTTGATCCAGTTTTCTAACTGGATCAACTAACTGGATCAACTAGCTGGAGTCTTCTAACTGGATCAACTAACTGGATCAACTAGCTGGAGTCTTCTAACTGGATCAACTAACTGGATCAACTAGCTGGAGTCTTCTCACTGGATCAACCAGTTTTCTGACCCATTCAAATATAGATACATGGAAATTTCTAATTTCAAATTTTTACTGATAACCAATGAAATCAGTAGATTGCTAACACGAGCAATTGGTTTTGACTGGCCAATGACTGGCAAAATGTTTTGATTGTTTCGATTGCGCGCAAAGTTGTCACAACCGATCGGACCACGAGGTATTCTTTGTGTGGCTTGCTTGCCGTCTAGCGCAGGACTTTTCCATAAGAGGAGCCCTTACTCTTTCCAGCCGATGATCTCTTCCGGTCCAGGTTACACTGGCCGTATCCGAATGGGGCGGATCACTTTGATCCATACCGCGTCGTCACCCATCGTAGATTTGAACGCAAATGAAACGTACCCGATCTGGCACTCTCACACAACAATTTTACAGCTTTGAGTGCTTTGCTCCGCTCCGCGTGGTGAGCAATCCCTGAAAGCAAGGCATGGCTAAGAGCTGGACTAGGTAAGAGACTTTAAGAGTAGGTAGTACTGCGGGGATAAAACCCATAAGTACCCAACTCGTGAATATGTCAAGAGTATTCTTCTCACTTTTTCTGTCTGGGCGAGTTCTTTGCAATTCGCTTGCATTAAACGATCTGTGACCAATGTGCGTGCAACCATTCCTAATCACTTTCAGTCCATGTTATCAGTTCATCTCCAAAATGGACTCGCCCAAATTTGGGTCGAAAACGAAGCCGATTTTAGCCTCTCTTTCCCTTTTTTCAAGAAAGATTGATATCAAAGCTACCGTCACAAGCCCCTTCTTTCTCCCTTTCTTTTCTTTCTTTTTTATTCAGTTTGACGCCACAAATTCCCCTTCTACGTAAGCGTCGATTAGAAAAAGAACAAAATTGATTTATCTCTTCAAAAATTTCATCGCAAAGGAATGCATCTTTTCTCTTTTGTCTTTCCAATCTACAAATGTTTTTCAAAGAAAGCAAAGAACTGATTGAAGATGGGATTCAGAAAACATTTGATGGAGTGCAGAGATGAAATTGAAGGGGATAAATGACAATACATTGTCAGATAATTGACAATACATTTATTGATTGATGTGAAACCCTGGGATAATCGAGTTGTTATGTCTGGAATTGATCCTTGAATCATTTACATTCTGAAAATAATCATGAGAAGTTCAGTCAACGGAGAAAAATAAGAGAAAGTTGATTCAAAATTTATTAACAATAGTACAGTAACCAGGCAAATTGAGGGTCAACTTTGACCGAAGATTCGTTCAAAATTTGCACACGAACGACGATTTGTCATATCTAGGGACAAATTTAAAGGATCATTCCGAAAAGAAATTCAGCTTTAAAAAGAGTTTAAGGAAAACCTTTTACTAGTGCTAAGATTAGATACAGTGGAGACTATTGGGCTGTCCAGAAAGTCATTTCGTTCCTTTTCGTACTTCCGTTTAAAACCAACAAATGTACCAATTGAACTACGGTTTGTTTAATTAGAAAGACCCATTATTTTTCTGCAAAATAACATTAAAACGGTCTTAAAATGCCTTATGTCTAGATTTTTGGGAGCATGAAGTCGGGTAGTCAAAAAATTTCTGTTTCCAAGTTATTTCTTCGTGCTTAACGCTTGTGTATTTTTAATAGAAAAATTTTTAGGTTCCATCAACACGGTTACGAGGGATCGAAAGCCGAAGTGGAATCGGTTGTGACGGATCTCGAGGAGCTTTTGCCAAAGTTCAATCAAATCAAATTGGACGCTTTGAAGTTGGTGCTCGAGAAAAAGAAAGTCGAATTCCAAGGATCTGACGATGTCACTTTCGAGGAGTTCAAGCAGGAGGTGGAATACATGGGATACAAATACGAAATCAAATGGAAAATCTATGTTTCCGAAGTTACGTATTACTGATTGATTTATTTGTCCATTTTTTATCGTGTGTTCTTATTTCTTTTTATTTATGAAAATAAATATGGGTATTTTTAAAACACAATCACATTGCATTGGTTACAGGAAACAATGATTCAGCAAAGCCATATCAGCTAAAGTTTGGGTTTAGTTTTTTCAAAATGGCCACTTTAGTTCGGCACTTTGAAATGCTTTAGTATTTGGTTGCTTTTTATTGCTTTAGAAATTTCGAGAAAAAAGCTGTTCAGCCGGTGACCATGTGAATGCGAGCCTAAGGGCAATCCGACACAAAACAAAGGAAGAATCCGAGATTTGTTTAGTGTTTTAGTCTCCTCCGCCAACTGTCACCTTTGATATAGCAGTTGGTGTATTTTACAAAATACTAAAGCGTTTCAAAGAGCCGAACTAGAGCAGTCTAAGGGTACTTGCTGTGTATTTTTTTCTAGTTTTGAGGTTTTTCCTTATGACGAAAGTTTTCGCCTAATCGCGCGCTTTCTGCAGCCGAATAGGCGGCTGCGCGGCAGCTGGTATTTCCTAATTAAAGATGTGATTTGTGGTTTCCGACCGATTCCCTTGTTATTACCCACTGTGATTGTGCTTTTAGTATGTTAAGCTCTAACCCAATAACCCAAATCTAATCTTTCATATAATTAAATCAATAGTTTGACGCTAGATGTTGCCTTTTGGTACTTCTTTGGCTGGTACAAATTCCGGCTCCCGGGGGCAGATCAAGTTAAACTACGGAAATTGGCATTTAATTTACATTTTAAATGAACTAAAAGGGCATTCATTCATGAGGGTACTTGCTAAAGAAGTATCATTTTTGTGATGTGCGGCCAACTTTTGATTCGTTTCTTTTTACGATGCCTCAACAGTTTAATGAAGCATACTGCAAATACTGTGACAGATAGCAAATACTCTTCTTTCTTTTCGGATAATCTATTGGAATTTCTAAGAGGCAAATACTCTCTTACAGTGTTACGGTATCCTATGGTTTTGCGATTCAATCCAAGCTTTTTACCGGTGTAAAAACGAGGGAATTTTCTTCGAAGATGTGTCCTTTTAAAGAGCCTCCAAATGAAAACTTCCCTAATGAAAGTTCAGGTATCAAGCACAGAACCAAAAGCCTCCAGAATCCTAGAGTCTGAGAGGGACCATTTCTATTAGGTTGTCCCATAAAAGCCCAAAGATTTTTGTTTTGATCAATACTCGCTAACAACACAACGTTTTGTATTTATCTTTTTTTTTTTCTTTTTCATGCTAAAACTTTCTTCTTTCTTGCATTACCATTCATTTTTTAGGGATCGACACGACAAGAAAGAAAGTTGCAGTCGATTGAATGAAGCCAACTCGAGAAGAAATCCACGCCCAACGGCTCCAGCGATTTTCAAGAGGGATTTCAGCGGCCAAAGCAGCACGAGAAATTAATCAATTTTATGGCAACAGAATCGTTGGAACGAGTACTGCACAAGAATGGTTTCACAAATTTAAGACGGGCAATTCGGGGATCAAATGGAAGAGGGGAAGTGGCCGAGCCCGGAAAGTGGATCGATCGATTCTGAGATACCGACTAACCCCGATGGATCAACCCGGAAATTGGTTGAACGTTACTGTGGACGAATGTGTGGCGATAGCTGCAAAAAGTGGGAAGAAATGGGAGAAAACAACGCCAAATTCCATACGAAATGTCAGAAACAATCAAACGCAAAAGAAAGCGGACATGTCACAACTTGTGGAGCGAATACCGGAATGGTCGGCTTCCTCTTTCGAACATCATCACTCACGAGCAAACGTGGATTTTCTACGATGGTCGAGTGTTACAACGGCAGTGGTTGAAGAAAGGGTAAATAGGGAAAACGGTGCCAAAACGGAACATCCACGAAAAGAAGCGAATGTTGTGTGTCTACTGGTGTTTGACAGGCCTCCGTTTCTTGGAACTTCTCAAACCGAGGCAAAATTTTAACACCGATGTTTATCTACGTCATATGCAAAGAGTGGAACAAAAGTCGAAAGGTTGCTCTATGGAAACAAATGGAACGGCCCCGTTTTCGTTCTTCAGGATGGCGTAAGCTCCCACAAATAGGAAAAATCGATCGATTTTCCTTCTTCATGCACCGTATTCTTCGGACTTTGCCCCTTTTGACTATCACTTGTTCTTGTCACTAAAGGATTTCTGACGTGGTAAAAAGTTCAAAGATGAGAGTGAACTCGCGAACGGATTGAACGATTATTTTTGCTCGCGCTCGCTTGGGTTTTATGAACGAGTTTTTTAAGCTACCCAAACGTTGGGGAAAAGTTAGAAATTCATCTGGAAAATATATCATTTAATTCTGATTCTTCGTTGTTTCTATATGTTGAAATTCAAAAAGTAGAATTCAAAAACTCTGGGGTTTTTGTGGGACAACTTAATAGACACTTCTACTTTTCTCACCAAGTACTGTGGGATAATCCAGTGTCACACATCACGTCATGTACAAAAATTTTCCCTTCAATCTTATCATTTCCCCAGATTTCCCCTTGAAGCCGTTTGTTTCGATAACTTATTGACACAAACCGTGTCGCTTTTTCTCTTTCAATATTTACCCTGACATCACATGTGAAAATTCAATCGTTTGAAAAAGATGAAAAAGACTTTTTGACCGATACGCGTTTTTGTGAGGAAACTTTGACATGCGAGTGCATGGATTATCAAAAGGGTGATCATGGGGAACTGATCCACAAGAAGAATGAAAAGGATCACTGTCTATCATCTCGATATGTATCGATGAGGGTCGAGAAGGGGGAATTGGGAATAACCATCGGGCAGTCCATCCTCACTCACTCCATTTCACATTGATAGTGAATAACGACAATGAATGAGGTTAGTTCAAGACTGGTTTTAAGTTCTTTTAATAAATCAAAGAATTTTAAAGAATATTTATTCAAGTACAATGCGTCTAATTGTCTAATTGTAAGTCTAATTGCACAATGCGTACTTTTTTCAAATCAAAAACAATATTGCAGTTGCAGAGGAAGTGTTAGACTTTTTTGGTTGACCCTAACAGGTTTGACTCATTTACTTGAACATTTTTAGATTTCAAACTGATGAGCTAACATTATGCAAGGTGTTTTGAGTGTTTGATTAGACTTATAAGAATCTTCAGAAGGTTCAATGAGCATTCTTTTCTTTCAGTCCTCATCCACTCTTCCCCGTCGACCCTCAATGGCTCCAGTCGTGGCAACAGTTTATGAAGAATCAGACGAATCGACAAGAAGTCAACCTGATCGTGAAAACGATAAAGACAAAGAAAAGGATAGAGAAAAACGAGACGAGAACACATTTGATGTACGTATTGAAGATTCTTTTTGAATAAGAACATCTTTTAGCTGATCGTTCAAGATTTGGAGCCAGCGACAGAGGTGATGAAACGATCGCCACATGGTAGGATAAAATTGAATTGAATTGAATGGATAAAATACATATTTTATCTCAATATGTACTAAATTTTAAAACTTAATAAACCTCAACTTCATTTTCTTTCAGCCAATCGTTTCTTGGCTCGTCATATCAGCCGACAGAATTCACAAGACCGAAATCGAATCGATGAGGAGCAAAAGTGATTTTACAGCTAGCTTTTGAAATAGTTCCTTTATAGTTCCTATTTGGTTCCTTTAAAGTTCCTTTATAGTTCCTTTATAGTTCCTTTATAGTTCCTTTATAGCCTAAGCATATTGAAATGCTTTACTGATCAGCAAAATTTTTAGTGCAATTGATCGCTATTACGAGAACAATCAGTACTCGGTGACGGGAATGTTTCAGAAAAATGAGGACACAATGAATCGAATACCGGCGAATTATCAGAAAATTTTGAGGGAAGCTAGGTATGAGAAAGATATTGACATTTTTGACATCAAAATCTAGAGAACGAGGCGCTGAGGAGAAGTCGACGAGGAGTTCGAAGTCTCGACCGGCACTTCCAATACCGGGAGCCAATGAAAATAGTATCCTTTCAAAATCTAGAGAAAGATTCTAGAAATATTCTAGGATTTCTGAGCTCTTTCTATTGGTTAGCGGCTAGACATCGAGTGATCGGATTGAGACATTTATTGATGTTTTTGATGGTTGTTGGATATACGTTGTTGGGTGGATTGATATTCAATGCGACTGAGGGAGGAGCGGAGAGACGGGTGAAACATTTGGCTACTAAAAAATGAGTTCAAGCCATCGCCATAACGCAGTCCGGAGCACACTGGTCCGGAGCACACTGGTCCGGAGCACACTGGTCCGGAGCACACTGGTCCGGAGCACACTGGTCCGGAGCACACTGGTCCGGAGCACACTGGTCCGGAGCACACTGGTCCGGAGCACACTGGTCCGGAGCACACTGGTCCGGAGCACACTGGTCCGGAGCACACTGGTCCGGAGCACACTGGTCCGGAGCACACTGGTCCGGAGCACACTGGTCCGGAGCACACTGGTCCGGAGCACACTGGTCCGGAGCACACTGGTCCGGAGCACACTGGTCCGGAGCACACTGGTCCGGAGCACACTGGTCCGGAGCACACTGGTCCGGAGCACACTGGTCCGGAGCACACTGGTCCGGAGCACACTGGTCCGGAGCACACTGGTCCGGAGCACACTGGTCCGGAGCACACTGGTCCGGAGCACACTGGTCCGGAGCACACTGGTCCGGAGCACACTGGTCCGGAGCACACTGGTCCGGAGCACACTGGTCCGGAGCACACTGGTCCGGAGCACACTGGTCCGGAGCACACTGGTCCGGAGCACACTGGTCCGGAGCACACTGGTCCGGAGCACACTGGTCCGGAGCACACTGGTCCGGAGCACACTGGTCCGGAGCACACTGGTCCGGAGCACACTGGTCCGGAGCACACTGGTCCGGAGCACACTGGTCCGGAGCACACTGGTCCGGAGCACACTGGTCCGGAGCACACTGGTCCGGAGCACACTGGTCCGGAGCACACTGGTCCGGAGCACACTGGTCCGGAGCACACTGGTCCGGAGCACACTGGTCCGGAGCACACTGGTCCGGAGCACACTGGTCCGGAGCACACTGGTCCGGAGCACACTGGTCTACAGTCCACGTGATCCGGGTTCAACCCCACCCGTAGTGCCGCTCAGTTTCGACTTTTTAATTTAACTTTTTGGTATTCTATAAGAGAGTTTTACAGTATTTTTAAGTAACTTTGACTTATTATTTTTGATTAGCTTGTCAGCCTTCTTTAAATATCGTTATCCAGTGTTTTAGGGAGTGGCTGAAGCACTGGAGGCACTTGAGAGCAAGTTGACACAGATATCGACACAGGTGAAGTTAGTGGGCAAAAATGGGCTTGTAATGTTCAAATCTTGTTTAAATATATTCTAGTCATGCTAATTATTAGAAGATCAAAGTCAAGAAACTCAGAATCATTTCATGAATGACTATCTTCAGATGGTCATAGAGATCGATGCCAACTCGACCACGTTCACTGATCCCGAGGCAACGAAGCAATTTTTGAGGGTTAGTTGAGGATTTTCGAGTCAGAAGAGATTTGTTTACTAATCTTTTAGCTGTTCTGCATCAATGATTCAATTTACAGGACACTTACACAGATCTTTTACGCGCTGAGGGTCGTTGGGAGCAGTCAGCCTATCAAAAGAATCTCTCCGATGCGAATATGTTGTGGAACTTCTGGTCGGCTTGTTTCTATTCGACGAATCTCTTTATGACTGTTGGATATGGTTTGCAATCAATCAATCAATCAATCAATCAATTCATTCATTCAAAGGTGTCATTGCTCCATTCACCGATCTTGGCCGAGTGATTTCCATTATTTACTCAATCATTTTCATCCCTTTATCGAATGTGGTGATTCGCGATTTGGGGCAATGGTTTCTACTTGGATTGACAAAAGTTTACGCGAGATTGTTGATTCGATGGAGGTGAGAGAAGATGCTTCAAGAACAAAGGGAAGATATTTAGACAAGATGTTAGCTTTGTGCTTTGAAAATCCATAAAGTTTCAAGTCAAAAAAAGGTTTAAGTCACTCTTTGAGTTACTTTAATGCATCTACTTGGTAGAGTTGATATTGGAGCAGCTTTCTATCGGATTCTTAGACCAGCTTTGTTATAAATGAACTCGAATTCATCTCGTACTCGAAGCCAAATTCCCAGTGTTTCAGGGCAGCCAGTGGCGGGAAAATAGACGACGATGAGGACATCGCTTTGCCCATCTCAATTGCTGCTTTAACAGTTTTAAGTACGCTTTCTATTGTGCTTAAAATCCATATCCTTTAGTTTATTGGATGTTCTGCTCATTTCTCACGTGGCTCTATGATGGGCTGATGGGCTCATCGTTTGACACAGGAATGTCATTTTGGGTACAGATTTTGACTGAATTGATGCTGATTTGATACTCCAGAGTTTGAAAACCAAAAAATTCCAGGATTCAATTTACTTTTCATTCATCACCCTCACAGCTATCGGATTGGGTGATTTGATGCCGAAAAATGTGCCTGTAAGTGAAAGTTTTCCATGTCTTCAAAAGTCTTCAATCGTTTAGCGATCACCACTCATGAAAATCTGGTATTTCCTTGGATTGCCTGTGTTCAAGGTGAGATAAAATGGAAAGAGTTTGTTGAAGATCTCCTAGGTTGTCAACCGTGTGAGCTATGTGGCCGTGGAGAACGGGATTTTCGGCACGTTCACCGTTTTCGAGAAACGCCTCGAGCAAGCCTATATGCAGAAAAAAGATCAGGTGAACGGAATATTTTGGTTACCGATCCTATAGATAAAAGAGCAGTGTCTGTCCGTCCGTATGTAAGGACACTACGGGGGGTCGAACCCGGGTTGGGTGAGCCGTAGACAAGGGCACTCCTGACTGCGCTACAGCAACGAGAAGCGGTAAAGCCCGTTAAACTGGTAATGAGATAAAAGCTATTTCAGTAGCTCAATGTTTCACCCGTCTCTCCGCTCTATATTTTTAATAGTAGTGAAGCCCGCCGTTAGTCATTTAAGATACAAATATCGTAAATACTTTAATAGAATGCCACCTTCTCGTATAATCGAACAGTCTAACTTCTTTTTCTCAGCTCCTAGTCTTTTTTCTAACTAGACTTTTGGTATTAAAAAAATACTAGATTTTAAGGGCTATTATTTGACCTAAGCGTACACTGTAGCATAAAGCAGTGCGGGGAACAAGACGTTCAAAGTTAGACTACGCCACTACGACATTAACAAACTCAAATAGACTTAGTGCGAGGTGCTAGCCGCTAGCCTTCGCACTAACAAGGGAATGGTCCGAAGTTAAGGTGACCGTTTGGGATGAGTGATTCTCATTCGATAGATCCCATGATGAGTATCGATGACCAAAACAATCAGCTGCCGAAAGCAACTCTACAACGATAAATGAGGCCGACAAGGACCAAAATAGACGTTTTTGACCCTCCTTCGTGGGGCTGTAACTTTTTACTGAATCAATATTTTCGAAGAATCTTTTTCGCATACAATAAAGCTTAAATTAACCTAAAAAATGGTAAAATTTGGTTCCCAAAGTGTTTATAAAATTTTACTTTTCAAAGCTATTGATTTTAGTCAAAGTTTTAGCCTGTTTACTGAACTTACTTTTTTATAGGAACATCTTAAGTTCATATAACTAATGAAAGTTTATTTCTTAGTTTCATTCAAGTTCTATTATATGCAAAAAAGATTATCCAAAAATATTGATTCAGTAAAAAGTTATAGCCCCACGAAGGAGGCTCAAAAACTTCTATTTTGCTCCTTGTCGTTGTAGAGTTGCTTTCGGCAGCTAATTTTTTTTGTTTATCATCAAATATTCATCATGAGATCTATCGAATCATCCCAAACGGTCACCTTAACTTTGGATCATTCCCTTGTAAGTCCAAGCCAGGCTTAGGCTTAGGCTTAGGCTTAGGCTTAGGCTCAAAGATTAAAATAATAACGGTGAAGCCTGGCTTGGACTTACAAGGGAATGATCCAAAGTTAAGGTAAGGATCCAAAGTCCAATATATCTATAATTCTATTAGTAAGGTAACTTGTAAGGAATAGTACTTAGCTTAAAAATGATGAACATTCAGGTCTCTCCATCAGCCGGCGATACTCGATCAATCACAAATATGGAGAGCGTTTCGATGAATGAAAATTTGCGACGAAGAAGGCAATCGTTGATGAGTGCAAAAGCGGCTGTTGTAAGTGTGATGTTGAAAAGAAAAGGAGTCAATTCTTGAAATGCGATTTTTACAGGAAGAACAAGAGCAAATCAACGAGGCGCTCAACAATTTCACTGTTCGATCGATCGCTACATTTATGAAAGTGCGTTGGATAAAGATTGTTGAATTTAAGAGAAATTTAGTTTTATTTTCAATTTTTAAAGTAATTAGTATATATGTCACGTCCGAATCTGAGGAGACGTCCGGATCAGAGGAGAATGAATGGACATCCGACGGATGGACGTCCATCTCTGAGTCGGACGTCCGTTTCGGAGGAGAATGAATCGCCTCAGATTCGGACGTCCGGATCGGAGATGGACCTCTCCTCAGATTCGGACGTAACATATACAAATCGATTCCTAGGCTCGAGCCGATGTTTATGGTGGGGATTTCGGGCGAATCCGGGTGACGAAAGCTCAATTAGAGGATCGACCGCCGAGCACACATTTTTGAGATTTCTCTATTCTGAAAAAGAATAGATTGAATCAATCAGAAGTGCTTTTCAGATAAAAAGTGATAATTTTGATTTCTTTTGAAACATTTTATACGAAACTAAACAATCAAAACAAACAAAACAATCAAAAAAATAAAAACAGATCAAGTACAAGTGGGTATAGAAGTTTTTCATCTTTAAAGCCCATTTAAAGCCATTTTCAATTTGATACATTTTCTGTAATTCTCTCTAAAAAGTGCCTAAAGATTTATTCCACAAAAAAAGTGTACAAAAATAATGGAGAGACAATAATCAAATGCAAATACCGGTGAAAATTTGGGAAAAGTTATAAATGACTAGAGAAAAAAATGGTGGTTTGGCAAAAATGAGTTGGCCCGTTTAGCGCGCGCGGAAAATAGACGAGAAGAGATCGTTGAGATTTCGAAAGGAAAGAAACGGACAACTTGAAATGTTAAAAAATGTTAAATGCAAAATGCAAAACACAAATGATGACCGTAAACTCGAAGCTCGATGTAAATGGAGAGAATCAAATTTCAATTTAATCAGTTCCTACCGTAGTTGGGCAGGAACTGGATAGAGAGGAAGGGCCATTAAAGTATTATATTACTAACTTATGACATAAAATGCTATAAATGTTGTAGCTGGAACTGTGCAATGAAACACTTTCTGCATTATAGCAAACAGCTCTTGCTTTCTAAAGCTTGGATATCAAATGAACTACCGTATTTCTTCGAATAGAAGACCGGGTAAAGAGTATCATCGCGTACTCTTATTGAATACATACAGCCCTTTTTAAAATTTATTTTCTGCATAAAAGCTTTCAATGAAGTGCTATAGGGCTGGAAAATGACTCAAAAATACGACATGAGCTAACAGATTTTTGAGCCATTTTCCAGCTCTATAGCACTTGATTGAAAGCTTTTATGCAGAAAAGAAATTTTAAAAGGGCTGCTACGCAGGAGTACGCGATCATACTCTTTACCCGGTCTTCTATTCGAAGAAATACGGTATTTGAATCCAAAAACCTGTTTTGAGTCATCCAAAACTTGCTTCTTATTTGTGGTTTTAAGTATAATTTTATTAAAGTTTTCATTTTAAAAAAGTTTGCTTGGATAGCTTTCCTCAGTCATTTTAAAATCACGTTTTAGTGAAAAGTTGTACAGGAACTTTTAGATGACCCTTTAAAATGTAAAAAGCTGATGGTAGCGGTGCTTTTTAAATCTTATACAGGTGTCGGTCGGGGACTTCCCCCTTTCACCGGCGTACTGCAGCCCCACATTCGATCGAGACTCTCGAAATGAGCTCGAGTGCCCGGTTGACCCGAGACCTCCTCGGAGACCAAGACGGTGATCTAAAATTTGATAATTTTATACTTTCAATATACCACACGGTATTTTATGTCTTTTTCCATAAAATGTCTATATTCATTTTCCATTTCTTTACCTTTTCTTTCCGATTTTGATCTAATTGCTTGATGACATGAAGTATGATTAATGGGAAAAGAACTGTGTAGAATGGAGCTGTCTAAAATTTAGATCTTTTTTTTCATTGACTGAATTTTGAAATGTTTACATGGTTTTCTATTGAAAAATGAAGGAAATTGCAAATTTCCGTTTGGAATGTTTATTGGTGAGAAAATGCTATGACAAAAAGCTTTGAATTGGATTTTATGATAACAAAAAAAGAGATTCAGCATTCACTGTTGAAGACTTTTATTTAGACTTAGCATATTAAAATATATAAAAGAGCGCTTTACTGCATCTGCAGTTTACTAGTATCTGCAGTTGCAGTTTACTAGTATCTGCATAGTGAGATACTAGAACTTTACAGTATTCTAATCGTAATGTTTCTAAGGGTCATTTAATGTATTTCTCTATAAATCGATCAAAAAAAACTCACATAGAAAATCACTTCATAATAAATAATAGTAAAAGCGTCCTCGAAAATCATCTCAATGAAAATGATCGCTGAACAGAGAATGGCGAAAAGAAGAAAATGCACGAATGTCACCTAAAGATATTTTTATAAATAAAATTTTTTGGGGACTCACTGGTAACAAAAGCTTTGTCACGTAAAGCGTTTCATTGATTTGATATCGTCTCTCCAATTGAAACATTGCTCTGAATTTAGGCTTTGAACAAATCTTCACCTTGCACAAACCCTGTTTTCATATATTTGCTTACACCATAGACGATTAAAAAGACGAGAACGGAAAGGACATCGATTGCGAGAAGTTCCTGAAAATAAAGAGTGTTGCTTGCAAAAGGTTACAAAAGCTTTTTCTAAGGAAATGTTCAGAAGTAACCGTGAGATTTGAAAATGAGATCTAAACAATGAGAAAATGAGATCCAAAATGAGATCTAAACACCTATCGAGTACGGCGAGTATGATGGTGCTTTCGAATTTTGCTAAGGATTGCTAGTTTTCGAGAAAAACGACTTTGACATTTCGGAGACTTGAATAGGCCGAAATACTGGAAAACGAGGCTTGCTTCTTTAAAAGAACTTCTTTCGATCAAGCAAGATGTGTCCTTGTGGTCAGTGAGTAAAGTCCTCGCCGCCCTGGTTCGTTCCCGGGCAATGCCATTTTGTTTACCTTTTTTTCCCAAACTTGTATTTTATACATTTCAAGGGTTATAGAACTTTTAAACTTTAGTTTTTATTTTATTTTATTTTAGTTTCAGTTTCTTTTAGTCTTCAACAATTTTATCTATAAATATTTTGAGCAAAACTTTAAGAACTTTTCTTTTTCCTAATTCCTAATTTCATTTTGGTTAAACCAGCGGATTTGGAAAGTCAGATTTATTCAAAAACGATCACTTCATGGCTTGCTATTAGAAAATTAATACAAGAATAGATCATGTTAAGATTGAGATTCATTTATAAGGGTAAACTATTAGAGGAGCTCAGTTTGAGACAGTATTGAGAATTTGTTGGCAATTGCCATCAATTCACAATAAAATATCATTCAAATATCTCATTCTTCAAAAAAAGCTTTACCAGCATCAACATCCAATTGTGCGTGGCTGCCGCACTTGACGGGAAACCACAATTGATTTGTTTCTCCTCTGTCGTCTCTGAGGCGAGCAGAGGACCGAGGAGAACGATTGAACAGACTATCTGAAAATTGAAATTTCAAGTAGCAGAGTAGTTTCAAGTAGTTCTTCTAGTTCTAGCTTCTAGCTTCTAGTAGTTCTGAGTAGTCTTCTCTAGTAGTCTCGAGCCTGAGCTTCTAGTAGTTCTGAGTAGTCTTCTCTAGTAGTCTAGAGCCTGAGCTTCTAGTAGTTCACTTCTCCCCCTAAAACCAATTCGATTTCTAACCCACCGTCGAAACTGAAAGAATCCTTCCAATTTTGTTCGAATAAGTGTTGTACTCGGGACCAATCCTAAACTTTTTTAAATTTAAAATTTACTAAATAGATTTACCAAGTGGCTACCACTCTTTCGACGGCTATTGACAGTTGACAGAGCACAAGGCCTAGAATTGAAGATATTCAGTTGAAGATTCAATAAGATTCAATTCACTTTACGAATAAACACAACTCAAAAGCTTTACCGGCAATGCAGACATTGGTTGGATGTCTTAAGAAAAGACACATCGTTCCATTAAACATCAATGAATCACACGAATCATCAGCGAACAACCAAGAGAATAAGTTGAGGAACTGGAATTTGCTGGATTTTAACAAAGGATTAACGAAACAGTCTAAAAGAGGTACGAAAAGAAACGAAGAAAAGAAACGAAGAAAAGAAATGAAAGCCTAATAGAGCAATAGAATTGGACTATTCGACGCATAATAACTTGTAATAGCCGCAAAAAGTTTCTGATATTGATTAGCTTGGAATTATGGTGAGATTCTGGCTACAGAATCACCGATGATACTTGGAGAAGTGCTTTCAGATTAATTAAAAAAAAAAAAAAGATTTCAAGACCGCGACATACATTTAGTGAGTTTAAAGATTTAGAATTTGATGACTTTTGATATAGAATTTTTTTTCATTTATTTATCCTCAATTAAAACAAAAAAAGAATTTTTTTTCTTTTATTTTAAAGCTGATTCTCAAAATCAAATCTTCGAAGTTAAAGGTTATGCCGTTTGTTCTGTGTCAAATTTCTCCAATTCGACTCACCAAAAAAGAGCTCATCGTGATCGCGTGCACGACGGCTAGACAAAGCATTGTTGTCAAGAGCATCTAAAGGATTGAGAGCTTCAAAAAGTATTTCGGTTTTTACCTTGACATTTGCATGAAAGTAGACTCTTGAATGCCAGGCATTTTGTAGACGAAAAGCCAGCACGATACTCAGCACACACGTGATCAAGTGAACTAAACAAACAAAAAAAATAATAGGTAATTCGAATTTTCACAAGAGAATGTCAATACGCTTTTTGTTCCTACAAACCTGTGTTGAGCATTGTGTAAACGGTGGAATCGTTTAATTGAACGGCAATCGCACAATGATTTCTTTCTGTCATTGTTGAACTGAAAAAAAAGGAGATTATGTTGAATAATATTTTTAAAATAAAAAAGGAGAATAAAGCGATAGAAAGCTGATGAAATTGAGATGAAAAACAGCGTTTTGGGAGATCGAGGGATGCAATTGTTGTTTGTTTTTTTGATTCAAATGGTATTTGTTTAGAGTTGTTCATAAATTAGATCAGTACTAATGCAAAAATAGGGCTTTTTTCTTCGATGAATCCTATGAAAGTACGTAAACATTAGTATAAAATGAGAATGTTACTCACTCCGTATTTGAATCGAAGTAATTTGCGGAGAAAAATGCAGCTCAAGTATTGTATTTTATTAATGCTGTCAATTGAAATATTTTCTATTTAAAGCTACGAGTAAACTGTAAAAATAAAGTTATAATTTTTTTCCTCTATGATTTTAACTTTTGCTAGAATTAAGCAATGGAATTTCTATCACCAAACTAATTAGTTCAAAAAGAAAATTTGCTCAATCTTCGCAAAACCAATTCATTTCGAGATTCTCGTCATTTTGTGCATAGAATTTGAGTGATTACGAGCAAGAAATTCTTGACAAGTCACGGGTTTGGATTTCTCGATTTTTTGGATTTCAGTTTTAACGGACGTCTTTAAATTAAATTAGAGAAATCTATAAATTTTCAAGTTAAGAAGGGTTCTAGAAAATTATTGAATTATTTGAAAAAACTTTTGACGGCATCAAAATCTATTTTCAAGTTTCTTCGAAAAGTTTTCTTGAAATCAAGAAAGGGAGAGAGGGGAAAGACGAAATTGAGTGAAAAATTCATGAATCTCGGGGCTCGGTCTGGTGGAAAAACGAGAGGAATGGGAATGGGGCAATGACTCAAGAACCGGGAAGTTTTCCTTTATTGAATGGATTGGAAATGAAAATGATTTGAAATAAGAATGTAAACAAGTTGTACCAAAAGTTGAATTCTAAGCAATTTTCCAAGGTATCTCGTATTTTCCCATTAGACTAGTGAATGAAATAGAGCTGATAACCTAGATCAAGTTGATGTCAATGGTAAGCTGAAAGGTAAGAAATCACTGGTAAGCTGAAAGCTGGACTTCTTTTGTTATTTTATTCATTTTTCTACAGTAATCCCTATGCGCAACCATTGATCGGCAAGATCTTTCCAATTTTTCTACAATAGCGACAAAGCTTTGAGCCCAAAACTGTAGCTATATTGGAGGGAAAGTTACTAGGCAGATTTGGCAAAATTGCATCCTAAAAGTTGAGGATTGAACCAGAAGATTGAGACAATATCTCGATCACAAAAGAATTTTTTGTTTTCTCGAAAAACCGATCAGTCAGAAGATTCACAAATGGGAGGAGGATTGCCGGAAATTGGCAATTTGACGCTTTGTTAATTTACTAGGCAGATTTGGCAAAGTTGCATCCTAAAAGTCAAGGCAAAGTTGAGGATTGAACCAGAAGATTGAGACAATATCTCGATCACAAAAAAATATTTCAAAAGCGATTCGAAAAGAATTTTTTTGTTTTCTCGGAAAACCGATCAGTCAGAAGATTCACAAATGGGAGGAGGATTCCAAATTGGCAAAGGAAATTGGCAATTTGACGCTTTGTCGCCTGGTTAGTCCTCAAATGAGTGGGATGGGTGAACAGAAAATACAGATTTATAAAAATAAAACATAAAAAAGTGATTGAAAGCTTAAAAATCGTTTTTGATTTCATATTCATTTAAAGACCATTTACTCGTGTTTTTTTTCTTTCGTTATCTACATATTTGAAACGATCGTCAACATCGGAAAAAAAAGAAAAAAGTAAAAATGCCACTGATTAAACAAAGTCCTTTTTTGTTTCAACAAAATTCTCTCAAATTCAAACGATTTTTTTGAATTCAAGTCAAACATATATACTTAATCTCATCTTTTGAATAACAGGAAATTTTGACGCAAGGTGGCCATATGGTGGCAAAAAATTGAAGGTTTCTGATGAAAGAGAACAAATTTATGGTTACGAAAAAGGATAGCTTTGAAAAAATGTCAAACTTGTGAAAGTTCACCAAAAAAAGTAGTTAGATTAATGGAAAAGAATCTAGTTTCTTTCGAAAATTCTCATATAAATGATTGCTTTGTTTAAATGAAATGGTGCGTCTCGAAATTCTGAGCCGGAAATGTGTCACTTCAAGAAGATGATGAAAATGAGACTAAAGGTTTAGTAGAATCTTTTTAAGTGCTTATTTACAAATCCAGTAAATACGTTTATATGAATCGCTTATTTTGAAATGTTGAGATCTTTTTTCTGATTTTTCTGGCTCAGAATTTCGAGACGAATCGAGTGGCGCTATTTTCGCCATTTTCGAATCCGAACGTTTCAAGCAACTTTTTTTTTGAAAGATTAATTGTGCGTTTGAGTTAAGAAGAATATGAGGAAAGGTAGAGATGAAAACCAGCCAAAAAAACTGGAGATCCCGGATTAATGGCCATAAATTCTATATTATGGGCAGAGATTCTAGTTTTAAAAAAACTGAAACTAAATGCTGACTTGAAATTGCTGACAATTCGTCAAGTTTAAGTTGACCAAATGAGTTGTAGCTAGATAGAAAAGTATGAGACTTCTGGTGCAAAATAAAAAAGCTGAGAAATCTGGGCATAAGTTCTGATTGTTAGGTTCATTTTTGTTTTAATGCTCTAGTGCTGGAGAGCAAAGATGAATCCTGGAAGTTGGTGTTGAAATTTAGCATTGGAGAACTTAACTAACGTAAATACTCGAATAGAACGCCATCTCCTTGTACAATCGTCTAGTTTAACTTCTTTTTAGAAAATCATTTTTGCTCAGCTCCTAGATTTTTCTTAACTACACTTTTGTTACCAAAAAAATACTAGATTTTAAGGGCTATCATTTGACCTAACCGTACACTGTATCATAAAGCAGTGCGGAGAACAAGACGTTCAAAGTTAGACTACGCCACTACGACATTATCACTTGATCCAAGCGCACACTGTAGCATAAAACCGCTTAGAACTTCGAACAGGATTTTAGTCTGACTTACAACAGGATGTTCTAAGTTAGACTACGCCACTGTACGCCCATTATGGGGATATTAGAGTATTTACGGTAGAAGATCTTGTAGCAAATGTGCTCGAACTGACTGAAAGTATTTGTTGGTATCAAATAAGCAATCAGAAATGATCATTGTAGTGAATTATGTCACTCATGATCACGTGGAGGCGAAAAGAAAAGGCGATGAATGTTATTTTTATTCTCTTTTCACTTCAAAGAACAATGATTAAAAATTCTTAGCGTCGTTTTGCTGGCAATGAAAAGAAATGTTGAAGAGCGAGCATTTGTTGGCCGTTTTTGATCAAATATTCAAAATAGCTGACAATAGAAAGAAAAGAAATATACAAAGAAAAACTTTGACATCAGGATGGAAAGAGGAAAAAAGGAAAAAAGGAAGAGTGGGTGGGAATTTCCCTCGCAAATGAGTTACACTTTAGTTTCATCGAATTTGCCGACTTTTTCCTTAAATTCTTCTTGATCTATGATATTAGTTTTATGATTTTTTTTTTTATCTCTGCTGTTTTCAACTTTTAAGAAAGATTAAAAATCATCGAAAGAAAGATTGAGTTTTGATTCGAAACTCCTTTCGTGACACATTTTGGTGAATATCCCGGTGAAGACGATGACGGGGTTAGTGGAAATATTCAGAGTGATTTGAAAATGTTGTTGGGAAAGGAAATGAAAATCTTTGGCTTTTCTGTTGAAACTAGGTTCTCTTATTGGAACTTTTTAGCAAACTTAAAGAATTACTTTTTTTACTTAAATAGAGATAATCTTGGATAGATCTTTAAAGATAACTTTGATTGTCTTTAAGCTATTTTCTATGTCAAAATTGCTAGATTATAGTTTAGTTTCTATCATTTTACTATTATAGTTTAGTTTCTATCATTCTACTATTATAGTTTTTCTATCATTCTACTATTATACTGTTATATTGGGTTGGTGGGAAAGTCCTTTCGGATTTTTTGGGAGAGTACCTTAAATTTGTCCAATTTTGACGTTTTATAGTTCATCCTAAAGCTGAATTCAAGACGGATCGATTGGTAACAACCGTTTTGAGATATCTCTTGTTTGTTTTTAGTTTTTACACATGTTTTTAGCCTAGATTTCTGCACGGAAAACTAACGAAACGTGAAAACAGCCATTTTTTTTGGCTCTGCCGCCCTTTACTAAAATAGCTGTAAAAACTTTTAGAAAAGAGATATCTCAAAACGGTTGTTACAATCGATCCGTCTGATCACTAGGGGGTCTTGTGTTCTAGAATTATAAGTTGAATTCTATGATATCACAGCCAATAATATGTAAATTGAGAGTTTATATGTAAATTAAGGATCAAAAATGAAAAATATTCAGTTAATACCCGGTTAGAAATGCAAATTTACCTATGATATCACAGGTTTTTAGACTCTAGGATTGCCCATCGAATGAGGAAGACATTTCTGGAGTCTGTTGGGTATATTGATGACTCTCGAACGAGCGAGTTCAACCAAAAGTCTCCTAGAAAACAAATTGCCAATGAATTGGGGGAAAGAAGTGAGTGGGATGGAAATTGAACGAGTAAAGGAGTAAAGGAGTAGGAGGAGATTCGGGGATGAGATCGAAATCCGCCCTCTTCTTTTTGAGAGCATTTCCGGCTTTGAAACACTTTTTATCCAACAAATCCCAACTATAGATAAAGCAATTTTAAAACAAAAAGCACAAATCACAAAATGGAAAAAAGACTTACAAATGACAAATTCAGTTTAAGAGTCATTTTCTTCATCAAAACCTAAAAGAGTTCCAAACCAATCCGTGAGAGTGCAAAGATTCTTTAAAAAAATTGTTCGCAAATTTCTAATGAATCAGCATTAATAAATGAACAAATTCACTTTCAACAACAAAAGTGATATTTAAAAGAACAATAGACTTCTCTCTTTTTCTCAATTTCTTCTAATCAGAATAGAATCATTTTTCCCTCAAGGAT